CCACCATGTGAGACGCGGGAGGTAGCTGACCGGCCACCATGTGAGAACACGACGGACACCGAGAGAACACGATGCATTTCAGACCCAAATTTGGGCCGAAAATGGATCCCACGGAAGCGAAGAGGACGTGTTTTAGGAACGGATCGACGCGTTGAGCCAGCACTTTTTTTCCGCCGTGATCCAAACAGAAGGCGGCGGACCAAATAGGTCGCCGCGTTGGAGTTGCTCTTAATGCCTCAACTTGCTGAGCAAGCGATGAACTCTTGCCATTTTGATTTGCTGGTTATACTCCCGAGACCTCATAACTAAGCAAGTTGTGTCTCTTCATCGTTGTAAATATTTAATGAAAACTTAGTTCGAAGGTTGCCACAAAAAACAGATTCTCCGTTTTATGTTGAAGGTGCAGGTTCATTCGTAGTGATCTGAACCAAAGAAAACAGGTTGCTTCCTAGGTGGGTGCGTTGACATATTTAAACAATACTAAAAAATATTACTAGTAATATTGATGTTACTGTACAAGGGCTGTCAACAGAATGACAGCCTACAATAATATTTTTCAACCAATACAAATGCAACAACTTGTAGTCACAAAACTCAAAATGAACAAAATGCTACTTCCTCCGTCCGGAAATACTTGTCATCAAAATTAATAAAAGGAAATGTGTGTAGATGCATTTTAGTTTTAGATACATCTTTTTTTTATTCATTTTAATGAAAGTATTTTCGGATGGAGGGAGTACGTGCTCGCGAAAGCAGCAGATCAAAGCAAAAAACAGTACTGCATTTGAAAGGTAGCAACACTGAAGCAAGTTAATGGATCACCACATTCCCAACTGATTCGACTACTAACCAAGCCGTAGGTTGTTATATTACAATCATATATTGGGAATTAGCTCCACACCTGTTCACAGCTCACCCACCTTATTGCGTGCAAACATATGGTCAAATTTCACATATCACAACACAAGATAAATATTAGCTTGCCCTAGCATTACATATACTTCCTCCACCCGAAAATATTTGTCATCAAAATGAATAAAAGGTGATGTATCCAGATGTATAATAGTTCTAGATATATCCCTTTTTGTCCATTTTGATGACAAGTACTTTTGGACCGAGTGAGTAGTTCAGAATAAACCGTTGTAATAAAGACCTTGCAATCCCATAAAAAGAGACTAGAGACCCATCAACGATGTGAAGAAACACATCAGTGATTCATCTTGCCGATGGACCGAACGCCGACATCGGAGCAGCAGTTGTACTGGTGATGCTTCCCCTGGCACTACTGTCCTCACGACCTTCCTCCAACGCAAGGCTCTCTTTCAGCTGCGCCACAACGGTGGCCATTGTTGGCCTTCGGACAGCAGCATCCGCTGTGCACGCCATGGCGGTGTCGACCAGTTTCCACATGGAGTTGACATCATATTCACCTCCAAGATGGGCATCAGCCACGGTGGTGATGTTGCCAGTGGCAATCTTTTGCTTCACACGCTGAACGATGTGGCCATGGCCCGCCAATACTGGAGGCTCACCGGTTGCTACCTCAAGTAGAACAACCCCGAAGCTATACACATCGCTGCTCTCAGTGAGCCAGCCAGTGTGATAGTACCTGAAAAACAACAGGTTAACCTCATGGGTTGCAGGTCAACTGGGGATGTA